ATTCCTGCGTTCCTTCATTTCTGCCCTGGCCTTGCAGCACACCAGATCTTTTTTAGCTAGATGAAATACGTTATGAGTAACGGGACAGAATATGAAATTGTTGCCCAGAATAGTCCATGTTCACAATGCCCTCAGGAAACCATGAGGCAGAAATGAGCAACATTGGTTTTCTCAGATACGTGCTTTTATGAGCTGCTGTTCTGTGTAGTGGGTGTTGAGCATTTCTTTTATCAACCAAATGTTTTCAAAGTTTACTATAAACAAACAACTTTGGAAGCATTGTCATTGTTCTCTGTTTCATAGCACTTATGTAATTTTATAGCGGGTAAGGTAGAAAATGAGTTTTGCCTACAGATTATCACATTTTTCTGACAAGTTTAGTTTAATGTTCGGTCTTCATGTTAGTAGTTGTAAGATTACCTTTTTGTTGCGCCTATAGGAATTCCAGTGATTTCTTCTGAAGAGTCTTAATACACTAAACAGCAGAGAGCTTAGAAGGTGGTAGTTAATAGTTAAGCACTATCATTTGTTCAGCAGCAGTTTTGATGTAGTTTTGCCAACATCCAGTAGATTGCAGTGTGAGGCTGTTCACAGTTGAGGGTTACTTTTTATCACTTTATCAATACTTGCTCCACCACTAGTGAATTGCATTGTTTCCTCTGGATTTTCGGGAGCTAGCTGAAATGTAGTACTGTTTCTCTCAAGTACGTGTCCTATTTTATCTAGTCTAGCTCATTTCCTGTCTTAACATATTTTAACCAAAGAACTGGACTCCTGAGCCATGTCTCTAGAAACACTTGATTTAATTTTATGTTGTTTTCTGCACTGGTGTGTCTGATCAGCGTAAGGCTGGCGCCTCTTCCCCTGGGTAGAATATCTTGCCGTGCTGTTCCTGGCAGTAGTTCTTGTTTATGTCTCTTGGTTTGGCAGCAGCTCCCAGATCTTCTACGGATGTTTTGGCAGGCTCCCTCAACACAGCTGGATCAGATGCTTCAGGTCTGGCGACAGATATTTCCAAGAAATAGTGGCCTTTTTTGATCGGGATCAAACTTGTTTCTGTGTGAAGTGTTCAGAAAAGTTTCACTGCTCTCAGCCTTAGGAAATTTAAAAGGATGAAAGCATTTAGCATTTTCCTAAGCAACACTTGAAGTGTTTTTGGCATCCATGTTGAATGTCTCCAAGCACTGTTTGCATAGAAGACACATATTTTAAAGAAAATACTGCTAATCAAAAAAGGAGAATTGCATAATGAAGCGCAAAAGCCAGAGCAGTGGTAATATTCATACTTATCTGAGTAAGGGCATCTACCCTGTAACATAGTTTCACAGCCCCAAAATCGCTTTCTTCCAAACAACTTGAAGGCTAATTTTCAAACTGGAAGATACCTTCTATAAAGTTGTATCCTTCAGCTAGTTATTTTTCAAGTCATTTTTTAGTCTTTGCATAATAATTCAGATGTAATTTTTGGAAATTGAAGGTAAATCATCCAAGTTGAACAATTTTCAGATAATAAAGGCTCATCTTTGTGATTTGTTTCCCTCCTTCTTCCCCTACCCCAAAACCACTGTCCTTGTTTTTGACCCGATGATACAAAGCTTGGAGAAACTTGATTTTTCTTTATACTTATTTACAGAAAAAATACATTTGCTCTTTTTTGTGATAATAGTATCTCACTGCTGTGATGTGTGAACTAGAGTTCAACGGGAACTGCAGAGGGCCGGTTTAAAGCTGTTGATAAGTGGACTATGTGATTTCTGAAAAAGCATAGAAATTAAGCAGGACAGGTGGGCAGGAGATACTGTGTTATTGTAGAAATAGGTTAAATATAAACATGCTAATGGAAGAAGCTATATTCAGAATTTGTATAGAAGAGAATTAAAGTTTCTTTTGTGAGAAGCTGCATAGCTTTTGATTGCAATATGTGTAACTGAATGGTCAAGACTCTTGGAGTCTAAATTGTTGTGCTCAGCCTTTTCCTTAGTATGCTTTACAAAGAAGAAGATTATTTGTCTTTCATACCTGTGACATTTTCAACTGTAGCATAAGAAAGTTTCTACTAATATATCTCATACTTGCTGCCTGAAGAAGTGTAGAAAAAAATTTCCTTGATGGACTGTTAGCTATCTATATTGATTGGTTTTATAAATATTCCTCTGAACTTTAGAAGCTGACCATAGCTGAAGATGAGTTCACTGGGTCAAGTACTCTGATGTGGTTTTCATGTTTCTGTTTCGCATCTAACTGGTGTCTTGCTCAGATGCCTGAATTTATACTAATTAATTCAGGCTTGAGTTTGGCATTGGTTTTTTTGTCATTTTGTGTAGGCAAAGGTCTATAGCTTTTTGTTTTTAACTGTCCCAGCAATATTGAAAATACGGATTGTTTTTGGGATTGTCAGCTCTTCAATTGCTTGTCTTTGTTAGGACATGATTCTTCTGCCATATCTGTATTTCTACTCATTTCTGCTCTGCCTGTGATTTACAAAATTAAATCTTCTGAAAGATGAAATCTTAGTCCAGCTTGGCCTTAAAATAAATTTAAGGGCTAGTGGTGTACAAGACCATGTAATCTAGGTTATCCTCTTGAAGTAAAGAAGAATAAAAACTGGCTTTAAAAACTGTTGCGTTATGAGGAGGAAGTAGTTAAAAAAAACCTGCTACTAATAGTTTAGAATGTGGATAGAATGAATAATCTCACTTTGCTGAACTGATTTTTGTAATGCCTTTAATGAGGGGGGGAAAGCCTCAATAAAAAGAAGAATATTGCTGCTGATTTAAGAGGGAAAGAAATGTAAAAAAATGAGCATACACAGATATAACAGATTGGAATAAATATACTGAGAAGTTTAAAAAAATGCAGGCTGAATTTTTGAAAAATGTATTTTGGAGAACAGGTGAGAGATCTGAGGAATAGGAAAGGTATAAGGAATGATCCTTTGAGTTAACCTAGCAAACATTTTACTTTGTTAATAATTTTCACCCTAAGAACCAAAACTTTGACAAGGAAATTAGTGCATGCATAGAGGATAATGGAACTTTTATATAAAGACCCACAAGCTAAAAGCAAATGCCTCATGCCACAAAACTAACTGCTCTGAAATTACTTGCAGGAATTGAGTAGAACACAGTATAGGTCACTAAAGTGAAGTATTATTATTTGCTCACTTTTGATAAGTCAAATCAAAATGGTTTAAACATTAGTGTCACTTGAATTTCTAACTGCATAAAAAGTTGAAGTTTTTGACAATATATAGTGTTTAAAGTTGGTGAGGTAGGTTAGTGACAGAGTAGAGCATTTCTTAGTTCTTGATTAGTCATTACTGTTTATTAGTGATGGTGGGGGAAAAGTATACATAGCATCAGTATTTAACAATAATGAAATGCAATTGTTTTACCAGAGTAACATCTCTCTGCCGGTGAGATGTAGGAAACAGATAGTTGGGAAAAGAAAGATAAGTATTTTGATTGAGCATTCAGCTTTAGTTTTGTTTTAATCTTGGTTATTCTGTTCTGTACCAACCAAAATGTTTATCCTTCACTTACTGCTGTTAATACATTTCAAGTGCATTCTTTCTCCTTTCTTTGCTGGTTGCTGCTCAGCTGGGTTAGGGCGTAGTGCTCTAGCTCTTGAGGAGGAAGTCAGTTCCTTCATCTGTCTGAATTGCTACACCTAAGAGGCATTTTTTCACTATGCCCTTACCCTTCTCATCCAGATAATTAAAATGCAGCTGGATTAGTAGGAAACTAGTACTGTCGATACTGCAGCATAAGAACTACCAAGCATCACTTCCCTCAGCGCCATTTTGTTAGAAGTAATGAGTTTTCTTGATGAAATAGGAAAAGGCAAAAGAAAACAGTAGTGTATTGAAGATCTCTGAGAAGCAATCAAGAGGTGCAGGTAACCTGAAAACATTATCTACAGTTGTTCTTTTATCGTCATTTTTGCTTAGTGAGACTTGCCTCATACAATTATGAAGTGTCACACCCGTTAATTTTTTTGAGAACAGATTTTAAGTGGAAGAGTTCCCCTGTGGATAGTGGAGCTAATGAGGCCCATTTTCATGTTGGTGTATGTGAGGGTTGGGTTTTTTTGTTTGTTTTTGTAGCCTGTATCTTGCAACCTTACACCTAGCTCTGTAGATTTGCATTGGAGCTGTGTATGCGTGTATACTAGTTGGTCATCCCACTACTGCCAGGCCGCATGCCCAGCATTGCCTGAATTCTTCTCTGCCTTTTGTTCAGGGTAGGAACTAGTATGAGTGCCGCTTTTCTACCCAGTTATGAATGTCTACAAAACTTTATAGACAATTAGGGTTTTTTTGAGTTGTCTAAATTTTCATGTTTGGCAGAAAACAATCAAACAGACAAAAGTTACAGTGAGTGTGAGAGAAGGGCGGAACAGATTGCTAAACTGGCTAAGGCTCTCTCTGCCTCAGTTTCTCTGTTACTGTGTTATAAGACTATTCTAATGAAACTTTAATAACTTGTAAGTGCATTTGAAATGCTGTACTACTGCAGCATTATTTTGTGTGTTAAAAATCTATAGACACTGACTCTGTAAAACGAAGCTTTTCAAATTAAAAAGCATTTCCCTTTTTCTTCTAGCTACTCTTATTGTCATTGTGCAGTGTGCTTTGTGGGGTTTATTACAATAAGCCTTCTGTAGGCTAAATATTTTTGGAAGAGAAGTCTCTGTTTTTGAACTTAGTCACGTGGCAGATCTAGCAGCTTTAAGAGAAACTGGTGTAGCTGGGCTGCTGTTAGTTGGAGAGTTCGAACTGTTCAACCTCATTTAGAATAGTTCTAACTGAGGGCCTGCTGCTGCTGGAAAGCACAGCATTTCAAAGAATAAAACTAAGGTTTGCCTAATTGAGGTGACAATATGAAATCCAGAGTAGATGGCACTGAACTGACATAGTAAAAATGTTTCATAGTGATGGCTAAAGAAAAGGGGGAGGAAGTGGAGAGTAGCCCATGTCCACAAGGAAGGAACCTTTACTGTAGCAAGAACATTTTGTAAAATCTGCAGTCTGCTGATCCCTGTGTTTCATCAGTATTCACTTTGCAATTACATGTCAACCTTGGAAAAAATAATTAAGCAA